CGGGAATAAGATTTGAGAGCTACGGCAGAGGCCTTTTTGATTACCATATACTTTTGCTAAATGGGAAAGAGCAGCTTGAACATTTTTCAAAACACATATCTATCTACTGGAGAAAGGACTTATAAAATTGGATCAACATAGAGGCGAGTAAATCATTTTCATTTTAGTTATTTGGTAAAATGTACTTTTACTCAAAGGAGGCAAGGAAGCTCTCATTTTAATGATGTCTTTATTATCTCCAGAGATTTTTTTTCCCCTTCGTTCCCATAAATGACTTTAATAAATTTGTGGTTGTGTTAAAGTTAGTGCCCCTGGGCCGTCCCCATGCTCTCCTTTGGAGTGTTTAATATTTCACTAATTAGCTCAGACTACCACACTTGTTTCTTTCCAAGACACTTTGAAGCTCCCAGAAAAATGTCTTTAAAGGACCAATAAGGAAAATTAAGTCATATGTTGGGACTCCTCATGCAGCAGTTCAATGAATTTGAAAACATCTAGGCAGATTTTCTGAGTGCAAATCAAAGACTACGTACTCAGATTCATTTATCGTAGAGTGATGTAATATCTGAGAGTCATTGATTTGAGAGCTGATTATGGGATTCAGAGGGCTGCTAAACAGAATACACATTTCCATAAATATCCAAGTCAGATATTGTTAATAGGAAGATCAGAAAATGGAGGCAGGCCTAATACTTTACAACAACAAAAAATACCTATGTGTTAACATTAATGTTATAGCTCAGTGGTTCCCAAACTGTGGTCCGCTGACCACTAGTGGTCCGTGAGGGTACTGCAGGTGGTCCGTGGAAAGGCAAAATAAAATACAAAATAATATTTTTTTACCTTCATTTTACCAGGAAATTCCCATAAAAAAAGTAAAAAGAATATGTAGGCCTATATTGATATAAAATTTAAATTAAATTGTCAAGTTATTGTGTGATTACTAAAATAGGCTAGTGGCCTATTTCGGTGGATAGCAACAGGTTCTCTGAAGAGAAAAGAGGCAGAGGCAAATATTTTGAAATTATATTAAATATTTGTCTGATTATAATTTCACCAACAATAATTCTGGATTGCCTCCACCAAACAAGTAAATAAGAAATAAGCAAATCAGAACACTGCTCGCCAGAACAGCAGTATGCGCGCAAGTGTGAACCATAGTGTTTCTTGCTGTATCTTTTACTTGGGGTCTCCAACACGTCGCTCGCGAGCTATCAGTAGCTCGTGGCCTCATTGGACTGGAGGTAGCTCGTCAAGGGCTACATATCGTGTCGTTTGCGCTCTCAAGTTTGTTATTTCATGTAGGCGCACGGCAAGCGCGCTCATAATTGAAGCGACCCGCTAATTTTTTCCAGGCGCAGCGAGATGAAAACACCTCAACTTTTCATAATGCCGCAAACGCACCGCCGTTCATGTGACAAGAACAAACCAATCAGCTTCATCCTTTCCGTAAACATTGAAAGCTCAGTCAACATGAACAATGGGGGTGCACCGGCTGCACCCAAACACTACGGGTGTTTTTCTCTTCTCCGTAAATAAATCTTGTAGCAGAGCTACAGCAAGCGTTTTTCGATGGTGTAAATCTATTAGCTACTAAAACTTCTTTGTCGTTGTGGAGAGCGCAGTGCATGGTTGCATAGCAACGACAGACAGCACGGGAAATCGGACCGAATTTTATTTTTAATAATAAAAGATTGCTAATGTGCATCAATGTAAATGGCAAGTAATTTATCTTTTTTTGACTCATTCTTTTTATAAAAATGATTTAAAGGCTGAAATATGTGAGGTTTATCTTTTTATAAAACCTTTTTTGTGAAAAATTATTTAAAGGCTGAAATATGTGAGGTTTATCTTTTTATAAAACCTTTTTTGACAACTTTATTTGAATTTCATTTTACTATATGTAGGGGTGGCAGGGGTTGGCGGCAATGTAAGTATCTGGATATTTGCCGCGGGGCGAGGGCTTCGATTACCTCTCTCTTTTTTGACCATACATGTTTGCATCCCTGAAATGAACCCGATTATGCCCTCGGGCGCTTGAGTAAATAAATAAATTAAATATGCGGCAGCCGTTGTGTGTAGTAAACGTTCTTTTAACAAGCTGTTGTACTGATGTGATGACCATAGTTTTAGTGCTAGTAAGCCTATTTAGAGGTGTGGATTAATTCAGGTAGGACTGTGTGTAGACATACTTTATTATGTGTATTATGAGGTGGTCCGCGAAAATTCTTGATTACAAATAGTGGTCCACACACACAAAAAGTTTGAAAACCCCTGTTATAGCTAACATGAAAGGACAAAAAACCCTAACCAACACAAATTCTTTACTTACCCTATCTGTACTACACAAGCATTTCAATGCTTTTATGATATTGCAATCCGTTTTTATCCCCCAAGTCATGTTAATAAGGCTTTGTTGACTTTTATTCTGAAGGACAGAAAGAAAAGCAATTGTGTCACAGATATTACTTCATTCTGTTTGTACAGTAGCCTTGCATATTAGGGATTAATCTCTAAGTCAACCACTCTCCGTCTTTCATCCTGATGGAAACGAGTTACGTCCTTATAAAGCTAAATATAGGGGGGTTGAAGAATAATTTTTCGCTTTTGTTTGCTGAGACACACACACACGCACACACACACACACACACACACACACACACACACACACACACACACACACACACACACACACACACACACACACACACACACACACACACACACACACACACACTCACTCACTCACTCTCTGTAAATGTGTCTAAGAGGGTTTATCGGAGACGGGAGCTAATCAACAGTCTCTGCGGGTCAATGTGGATATATAAAGTCTGACACAGGAAGAGAAATATAGGCAGAAGGAGAGAGAGGCCCTCTGGAGGAAAGGTCTCTCACTTTCCTTTTATCTTCCTCTATCACACTTCTTGACCTCCACCTTCTTTTCATCTTCAAGTCGCTTCCTTCTCTGTGTAACCATCTCTATGTTTGTAAAAGATGTAAGATATTGTTATACGCCTATGGGGAAAAAAAATGCCCTCATAAAAATATTGCTGATGCATAGATACATTTGAAATACATTTCACTGAGTAGGTTAAATAATGTTCTCCCTCTCTTAAAAAAGTTCTCAATGTTATGGAGAAAGGGCTAATTTTAACAAGCTAATTAGCACCGGCAGCCAATTTTAGTGCTAATATTTTTGTCTGGGGTCTGACTGTCTTCGATTGCACAGATGAGGTCTAAATACAGAGCACACTCCAGCGGGGCTATCTGTTACAAAAGGAGGCACGACAGTCTTCAGCTTGTTTGAGTGCTGAGCTATGATAAGCTAAGCTAGCCTACTTCTAAACTACTGTAATATGCTATTTTAGGCTACTAGGAATGGGGAATTAAATCTGGTGTACGCATTGCATGTTGCATAGCGCAGCATTTCATTCATATTTCTTGCTATTTTAGGCAGTTGGGTGAGGAGCAGAGGGCATGTTGTGATCGCTGTACTATGCTAGCCTACTATAACATTACTATAAAGTTCTATTCCTGGTAGCCGGTTAAGTAACCGGTATAAATGGTAAAGAATGTAAAGAGACACTCCTTGGTAGCCATTTTGGAAACAACTGTAGCTCTTTGTACACTAACTGTCCAGAGATGTGAACAGTAACTAGGACTCAAGTTCGATTTTTGAATTCTTGTTGTATTACTAGTCTTTGTAGCATGCATTTTTTTGGCAATAGTTTTGGCAAGCTGGTGTTGGTTGTCCAGATGTTCTCCCAGTTGACAATTGCCTGAAAACCATCCAAAACTCTTGGATGTCAGAATTTTGACGGGTTGTGGGCCACTAGGGGGGCCTCAGCAAACAGCCAGGGGGGCCCCAATACGTCTTAAAATGATTTAAATTTAGTTAACAATCTTAATTAAAATGTAAAAGAAAAAAAAAAACGTAAAGATGAACAACAATAAACTTGCAGTTACAGGTCAAATGTTTTGCAATGCGACCTCAGTATGAACAGTCATATCAGAATGCATGCCACTTTTTCATCACTCTAGAGCAACATCCGTCACAATTCTGCGCTTATGGGAGTCACTTCAAAGATTTGACATACCCGACGTTATCAAGACAGTTGCAAAAGGTAGTCAGTGGAAGGACAGTGATGTGTCTGAACTCATAAGTATTACAGTGACAGCTCTATATACAAGCAAAACATGAGGAATCGTATCATAAAGGTTTAAAAACTCGGTAAAACTTTACAATAAGGTTTCATTTGTTAATATTAGTTAATGTATTAACTAACATGGACTAACCGTGAGCAATACATTTATTACTGTATTTGTTCATCTTTGTTAACATTAGTTAATACAAAAACAGTTGTTCATGTTAGTTCACAGTGCATTAACTAATGTTAACAAATACAACTTTTGATTTTAATAATGTATTGGTAAGGGCTGAAGTTAACATTAACAAAGATCAATAAATGCTGTAGAAGTGCAGTTCATTATTAGTTCATGTTATCTAATATAGTTAACAAATGTTTACTTATGAAACCTTATTGTAAAGTGTTACCAAAAACTCTGCTTTTTTCGCATCCTCCTCTTTGTTTGTTTTTTATATTGCCTGCGCTTTAATTCGCTAGCTTTGGCGACAGATCAAAATATTAATAAACACGTAATCGCATACTTTAATGTCCCCCATATTTACTTCCATATTTGTATGGTTCTTTTACGCATGTGGGTCAGTCCAGGACCATGATCTGTTCGCACTGGAATCTGATATTGGCCACATTTAAAACAACAATGTGAACAGCTATACAAAAAAAATCTGATCTGAGCAATAAATCGGAATTGAGCAATAAGGCTCGCAGTGTGAACGTAGCCTTAGTGATAGACGGTGATATCATCCAAGCTGATTAATTGCCTAATGTTTGTCAATTATCTAGGTTCAACCATTAAATAAGGCAATACTATATCAAACAATTAGCTAATCTGTGCATCTCAACTCTGTCCCACAGACAGTGAAGTCGTCCCTCCAGACCTTCTCCGCCCACGATCCTTCACCACAGTACGTGGATCCACCTCTTTACGACGTGAAGTAGACACCTCCCGCCTGTCCGTCAGTCTATGTGATCTTAACCTGCAACAAGATGATGCCAGGCTTCGACTCCCTCCCGCTCCCGTTGCCTGTCCCATTCCTCAAAACTCCATGAACTCCCAGCAGTCGACACTGCTTCCTCACACCTTGGAATGTGATCTACGTTTCCACCAGCTTCGAGGTGCCCACATCAGAACCCTTAACGAACAGACCGTGGCACGATCCGAACACAACCGTGAAGAACGCACGCTGGTCTTCACGGATCGCCCGCTGCGAATTGGCGAAACCATCTTCATCAAAGTCATTAAGTCCAGCCCTGCTCGTTTTGGGTCTCTTTCGTATGGCGTGACATCATGTGACCCCGCAGTGCTTCGCCCGAGTGACCTTCCTTACAATCCTGAAGCACTGGTAGACCGCAAGGAGTTCTGGGCGGTGTGCAGGGTGCCTACTGCTTTGCAGAGTGGCGATATACTGGGCTTCCTGGTCACACAGGAAGGGGAAGTAATTCTGAGTCATAATGGCACCAATGTTGGCATGCAGGTGTGTGTGGACAACTCACGACCACTCTGGATGTTCTTTGGACTGCATGGTGCTGTCACACAGCTGAGGATTCTAGGTAAGCATTATCTAGATGTGTTAGTTCGACTTCCACAAAATTAGGGATGCACAATATATCGGCCACCATATCGGTATCGGCCGATATATGTTCATATTTAATGTCATCATTATTGGCCCATTAAGAAAATTAATATTATTAATTATTAATTAATTAAGATTATGGATTATTTCAGGGGCGGACTGGGACCAAAAAGTGGCCCTGGACTTTCTGGCCCACAGCAGCCCACCACATTGTCATAACATGATCCCAAATCATAACACATTGGCCCATTAATGTGCAGAATATTTTTTAACACCACTTATAGCATAAAAATATAACACAATACAAAAATAAATGCTATTTAAACATTTTTTGTAAGTAATACAACATATATTAGGTCATATTTGTAAAACCAAAGGGAAACAAACAGAAGAACATTAAGACACACAACATATAAAACTATCAAGACAGCATATCAGCTAGTCAGGGGGAGCTAGAGCCATCAGAGCCTGTTGAACTGCTACTCTTCCCGCCAAATGTATAATCTGTTAATTTTGAAGCATTTCACAGCATCTACCTCTAATGCTTTTTTTAACCGTCGGCTGAAATTGGTCCTCGTAGGCTTTTTTTCGGCCGATTCGACATGTCGGTGAAAGAGGGAACTCTGATTGGCTGTTCAGCTTAGTGAAGGAGTCAGTGCACTGCACGAGAATAATAGCAAAACAGCGAGCAAAGAAGTCAAAACAGCACAGATAGAAGGCTGTTCTAATGTTACGTCATATTACCTGAGTGTTCCTTGGCGAATATTAACATATTAACATGAGAGGAGTGGAATAAAGAAAGTGTTTTGCAGGATTGATATTCAGAACGGTAAGCACGCACTGCTTTGTTTACGGTGTGTATCTGCAGCCGGCAGCGACGGTTTCTCTTTTTGAATGACGCATATAGACGAATGTATCTCCAGAAATAGACAGTTGTCTCATTTACACGCAGGCGCAGAACGCGCATTCTAGCTAACAGTCGGCTGTAGTTCTCTCGGTGTGTTCAAGTGCAGCTTTTTTCCCGCGACACGGCGATGCGAGGCGACAACACTAGCTGTGTCCCAATGTGAAGGCTGCATCCTCCGAAGGCCGCGGACTTCGAAGGATGCAGCATATTCGTCCTTCGAAGGACGCACCTTGTAGCCTTCATAGGATTTCCTAATTGCGCATCCAGGTGTTCCCGATTACCGCTCCATGGCGCCAAGCAACAGTGCGAGATGGAGCTGCCGTCCTGATCATTAATTTGTTATAATTGAGTAAACAGCTATGGAGCCAGAATTGGCTATTGTCATTTTTATGTTTTATATTTTACTGAGGATGTTAAATACATGAATTTTCTAAACGACATTTAGGCCACTTGTCTTTAAAGTCAATTTTTTAGGAGGAAAAAGCTCAGTATATAATAGAATAAGCAAAAAAAGACTTCACATATAAAAAAATATATATAACACAAACACAAGGTTAGGTTATATAAAAATAAAACATTCATAAATTATTTTATGATTAACATATTACTGTCTTCAGTGAACTCAACGCAAATGATAATAATAATATTATTATTAGCCTACATTTAGGCTATATTTAGAAGGCGCTTTTATCCAAAAAAGGAACAAAGAAATTCGTCAAATGTCAGTCATAATACAGGGCTAAGATTATCACAAATAAACACAAGATTTTGACGCAAATGTGTGTGGGAGTGTGGAGCACGCACTGCATGGCACGGAGGCGCGGCAGCGAACACTTGCATTTTCCAAGGGGGTAATCCATCGACCGGAAGTTGAAGCCGGCCGGGTGCCGCCATGTTGTAGCAGAACTTCACTTGCGTTAGCATTTCCATTGACTCCCATTCATTTTGGCGTCACTTTGACAGCGAATAACTTTACATCTGAGGCGTTTAAAGACTCCATTTGTCCATTATTTATTTCTAAAGAAACACAACAATGTATAAAGGGCGCCATTACCTTCTATGTTACATTATGGCCCCGTAGAAACAGATTTAGTAAAAATAGGCTAACGATTGCGTCATAACCACTCGACTCTCTGTCGCGCTGTACAGAAATTACCGTACAGACAGGAGAAGAAGCTCGCAGGCAATCGGGGGGACGTCCCGTCAAGGGAGAAGCCCATAGATAATGAGTCCATAAAAGCAACGGAATACTTACTCCTGCTCACTCACGCCAAAGAACTCTTTGCTCAAGTTCCCCGTCTCTGCAAGATTAACGTTGGCAATTTTCACGCACAGCTACTAGAAGAGTAACGTCTGTCAGACAGGTTGCTCACGTCATCAAGCTTAGTTTGAGTCGGTTTGAGTCTGCGCGTCAGGAACGGAAGTGCTCAAAAATTGCTAAAAATGGGCTTCAACTGTCTCAACTGAGTTCCAATGAGATGGCTCTGTCCACTTCTTATACTGTCTATGGCATTTTCCCATCAACAGTTTCCCATCTATAATTTCTGGTCATACAGAAAAGAATAATACGTCATTCGCAACTACTTTTATTTGTCCAAACTCACATAACAAGAAAACGTTGTGCTTTTGTAAAATAAAATAAAACAATCAGTCGCTCTTTCCTGATCTCCGTGAACTGGAGCGCGTCTCATAAATGAACTGAAACAAAATATACCTTGCCTAAAGCTTGAAATGTTCACTTTTAAACGAACAATTAAAATGCCTCGTTATTTATTCAGACACATTTATTATCATTAGCCTATAAATCATGGTTCCAGAGACATGGCTCTTCTCATTCAGCATTGGGGGAAAAATATCATTTCCAGGTTCTAATCTGGCCTTAGAAAACCAGTAAAATCGACATTTGTCCCATAGTAATTTGTGAATATTTTAAATGTTTAATAAAGGGGCTTTTTTGTGTGTTTTTTTGTGTGTTTTTTTGCAGCATTTGTGTAGCCTACAGTTCAAATTTTGGTGTTCAACTTTGGCTTTTAAAAATACAACAACCTTTCATTTTTAGTTTTTCAATTATGGGTTAAAAAAAAGAAAAACAAATGGACGCAAAAGTAGGCTACCTTATATTATTAAATATTTCAAATAATGTATTTGTAGAAAGGTTTGATAGTCAATCAAAATACTAGTAAAATCAAAGACTTTAATCTAAAAAACTATCACTAAACTATTTTTAGTTTAATAGTCTGTGTAAATTTGCATCCATTCGTTTTTAATTTTTTAACCGTAATTGAAAAACGAAAAATGAACGGTTTTAAAAGGTATAGTTGAACACCAACATTTGAATTTGAACTGTAGGCTACACACCAAATGCTGCACCAAAAATGCTGTCGTCACCGGCGCGCAATGAATTATAGGGTAGGATCAGGGTAGGATAGGCCGCTAAGTGTCCATTTATGTATCCTTCCTTTCACGGGGAAACGAAGGGTGCATTTGGCGTCGCTTTTGAATCAGGGTAGCCTTCGTCGTGCCGCGATGACGCAACCGGCCTTCGAATACGGCCTTCGAACATAGACAGTAAAAGAAATGGACACAGCGACCCCGTTGATTTCAACGGAGAGAGTTGAAGCCCAACATGGGCACTCACTTCCTGATAGCCAAGCGTTCTGCGCATGCTCAAACTGAGCTTGACGACGTAGTTGTCACGTGAGCAACCGTTCTGACCTTTTAGTAGCTGTGCCGGGACAAATCTGAATTGAAATCTGAAACAAATCTGTTGTTGAAATATTTTGTCCCGTTGCTTTTATGAACTCTCTATCTATGGGCTTCTCCCTTGACTTTATGCCTCCATGTCCACCCGATTGCCTCATAGACAGTAAACGATTGCCTACGAGCTTCTACTTCTGTCTATACGGTCATTTCTCTACTGTGCGACAGAGCGTCCCGAGGTTATGACGCAATCGTTAGCCTATTTTTACAAGAATGGCTTCTACGGGGCCATAACGTAAGATACAAAGTAATGGAGCTTTTTGTACATTGTCGTGTTTCTTTAGAAATAAATAATGGACAAATGGAGTCTTTGGACGCCTCAGATTTAAAGTTATTCGCTGTCAAAGTGACGCCAAAATGAATGGGAGTCAATGGGATGCTAACAGCAGGTGATAGCCAGCTACAATGGCGGCCCCCGGAGGCAGCTTCAACTTCCGGCTGATGGATTACCCCCTTGCCTTCGAAGGATGCGGAATTGAATTGGGACAGCCTTCATTGCGCCGCGGTGACGCAATCGGCCTTCAAATGCGTCCTTCGAAGATGCAGCCTTTGAATTGGGACAGCCTTCGTCGCGCCGCTGTGACGCAATCGGCCTTCAAATGGGCCAATCGGCCTTCAAATGCGGCCTTCGGAGGACGCAGCCTTCACATTGGGACACAGCTACAGTCGGCTTTCATCTGATTCTGCGCTAGTTCATCGACGGCGTTGGCTTGGTGGTGTGATTCCAGGACGTTAAAAGAGGGCGTGTTTCAAGATACGCAATGGAGTAGACCAAACAGGGAGGGAGGGCAATACACTCACGTGCATGCACACAAAACACACTCCTTGTCGGCCGCGCCCGTGCGATCGATTCCCTCATCCATTTGCGGAGAAAAGAAATGTAATATTATGATTTCCGTCATTTTTTTTATTTATATATTTTTTATATGTGTACCGGGCCGGCCCACATTGGCCAACGGCCCACCGGGAAAAGTCCCGGTGCTCCAGATGGCCAGTCCGCCCCTGGATTATTTCCTTCAGCTGAGACACTTCAGATGCACACTGTTCGCCACAATGGTTTTGAATTGCTTGAAACATGATTGGGATCACTTCAAAAAAAGGAAATGCAAGTCTGTCATATAGGCTACATAAAAACGTGTGCTTGGGACATGTTTTCTTATGGTGAGACTTTTGGTTTTGCAATCAGGCTCTCAAAAATTATTTACAAATTTGGATTTAGATTTATCGGACAATATATCGGTTAACGGCGTTCCAATATAAAGAATTATCGGCTATCTGTATCAGCCAAAATTTTCATATCGTGCATCCCTACACAAAACAAACTGGTATGATTTCAGTTGGACTAAAGCTTTTACATAAAGATTCCAAAAAAATTACCCATTTAGTCCAACTGAAATTGGGGCTTAGAATGTGTTTTAAAATGCGACTGCAGACTCACATTCGGGTGTGGAATGCCACTTTTCACAAAACAATTCTTGCTGGGTAATATGACATCAAGTCCTGTCCTTTTATTACAGATTGTGTCCTCTCATAAAACAGCGTTGTGAGACAGTTTCACACTGAAATGTAAGGATTTTGCTTATGCATCTCAGCTTATTAAACCCAAGGAGGGTTCCAATATATTTTATTAAATTTTAAATACAAAACTGTGCTGTTGCTAGGTGTTGATAAATAAACAATTCAGAAGCAATCCAGTAACCTTTCAGAACACCAGACAGTGCTCCAGGTCTCACCCACACACCTGTGACTGACACACTAAACAAAGTACTGTATATGCTAAAGACAGGAAGTATTACAGGAGAATGAGTGGGAGGGGTTTGACCTCCGTTAGCTTTGTATGCACTTTCCAAGATGTCTGTGTCGCTGGAAGCACATTCCCCTCCCTCCTTCACACTGCACACACGCACTCACCCCCTCTCATTATCATGCAGCGAAGGAAAAGAAATGAGAAAGTGAAGAGGAGAGTGGGCGATTCACACTTCATTTGAGAGCATTCATTTGAGAACATTTCTCTCGTTTACATCTTTTTGTTCTTTCAAGATTCAAGGTTCAAAACATCATTGTAATAACAATTTAGTTGTGCTCTCATTGTGCTTATTCAAAAGTAACGGCAGAAGGAATATAGAATAAAAAGACGTGAAATATGAAAGAAATACCAGAGTTTGCGATGCTATAAAAGAATATTTTTTATGTACTGTAAGCTTAGGTTTTAGAATTTGGTTCTGTGTAATTGAAGAGAATTCAAATATTAATCTATTTAGCATTACTAATCTGCAAGTAGATTATCATTTTGATTCACAAAATGCCATCAATTAGTGACTGTAATTGGAAAATAAAACAAGCCAGTGGAAGGATACTAGAGATTTGAAAGTAGTACAATGGTTATTATAAAACTATGCTTAATGTTATTATTGATCAAGAAGAATCAAGTATACCAGAGAGCCGTGTTGTAAAGATACATTTATATATTTTTAAGATATATTTACACACAATTCAGAATGCAAATAAATCCAAGGAAGACCAAGGAACCAATCGCAGTTCAGCATGAGAATAGTGACTGTAAGTATGCATACAGGTTACTTCTGTTAGATTTCACTGCCCTGCAAGCACAGTAATTAAATCTAGTGCTAATAAATGAAATGCACAAACACATGCATATAATAGACACATGGAAAAAAAAAACGTTTCCTTTTTGACTCTCTCCATCTGCAGTTTATCTGTTATTCAAAGGTATGTCTGCTAGCTAATTGATCACTTAACGCATTTATATATATCCCCAAATTTTGAATGTTAGTGTATACACATATGAAATATACTTGTTCTAAAATCAGTGTGAATGTGTGAACCTGACTAAAAGTGACATTTAATTAACGTCTGTTCATTTTTCTCAACCAAACCACTTCTATACTGAATGCAGTGCACTGCCACCACCAGTAATTTCAGTTCGAGACCCCTGATGTAGGACATATGTGAAGACATAGGCAGCTCACAGCTTTGACAGATGAATGATGTGACTGTTTATACCACGCAAGCTGGTTTAGTCAGTACCTCTTTGGTATTCAAAAGATAGAAAAGACTTTCTGCCATGTTGACACATAGTGCTCATTTTACACATGGCAAAGGGCTTTAGAGAGGGCCGACTTTCTCTAATAGGTTTTTATTGAAGTCTCTCCCTCTACGGGTGGAGGTTAGAGAGACTCAGCTGTTCTTGTGTCTCTGTTAATCTAGTAGAGATGCGCTTGAAGAGGCCTGGCCCTTGTGATCCAGGGCCAGTTGCTGAGGCCTGGTGAAGGGGATTTATGATGCATCTATGTGTGGAATGACAGGAAGGTGGAATGGTATGTCAGGCTCACAAAGGATCACGCTCTGTGGACCCCATCTCATATATAACCCCTCACCCTGACTCCGTCTTAATCGAGGATCACACTGTAGGACTTGCATACTGTATGCAAACACGTGAGCAAAGAAAACACACATGTATAATTTACACCACTAACGGACCCAAGACAGAACCTTGGGGAATCCCACCGACTCCTAATGTTATTAACTCTAATACTGTCATAGATCTCATCCAGAGTAAATGCACACTACACGCATATATAGACTAACCTCAGAGAGAGTATATTCATGGGTTTTAGGTCAGCATAGCATTTTAGTTCAGCCAATTCTCCCTCTCATATACACACACGCACACACACACATATATATATCAGAAGATCCAGCATACTAGAAATTAGGTCAGTTCAATTTAATTCAGTCTCAGCTCTACTTTAAAAGGCCCTGAAATCTTACCGTGGCCATTATTAAGGATGGAAATGGAGTCTGGTTCCGATTCAGATTCCAATTAAGGGTTTCCTTAATAATTCTTTTAATAATTCTATGAGAACAGACCACCAGCCTTCAAATATGCATGGTCATATACACCATATGTAATCATATATTCTAAAACAATCCTTATCAACAGATTTGAATGTTTCTTCATATTAAAATACCATTTAATACCAAACATTTAATATGTATCGTTTGTTATATGAACAACCAATCAGTAAATGGGCTGAATTTATTTGCGGTTCAGTGAATAAGTCAATAACTGCTCCAAATGATTCAGTCAGTGAGAGAATTGCTGTTATATTCTATTCAAGCTGTATAGATTAGGTCTGCTAGATACAATTCTTGCTAAAGAGAGGTGGCTTTCCTTTTTGGTCCCCTGGGTGTCGGGATCTGTTAACGAATCTCAGGCCAGCATGATCTTTAATGGTGTCAGATTTAGATTCCGTCCTGAGGCTCTAACAGCCAGGACAATGTACTGAGATTAGTGAAACAAACACCCCCATAACATCCACAAATACAGTACCTGTACAGTATGTACTATGTAGTTCTGCGAAGAGGGTGACAGAGTTACAATACCAGCTCCCTTGATAATTTTCACAGCTCAATGTCTCCTACGGTTTGCACCCAAAAAAAAGTGTCTCAGTCTGAGGCGGTAACTATGTTCACTGACTATGTGATGTATATTACACAACATTGTTCAATATCCGATCCAATTGGTTTTACACAATATCTGGGAGTCAGAAAGCACAGGTCTGCAATCATATTTAATAGTACAGGATTGCGACAATTAGGGCTTCAGGGAAAGATCTAATGAGTGAAGTGTGGAATGTTTGTCATGAAAGTCATAAAAAAAAAATTCTTGTGTGCAGAATCCATTATTTGTAGAACTGAAAGGGGTCATATTAAAAAGTCTGTCACCTGTTTGTATCTACTTTGTGCATATTCAGGCTCCACTTTCTTGGGCGATGCTCTTGACCCGTCCAGCCCTGGCTCTCCCTCTGCCTCGCCCCTCTCACCCTCAGGCCTGTGTGGTGGAAGCCCAGAGCCCATCTTAAATGAACACGGCTGTTCTGCTGCCTTCTGCAGCTCCACTGAAGGTCTGCATGTTTATCATATTTCAGGATTTCCTGGAAAAATACATTTGTACATTTTTATTATCTACTGATAAGATTTTTGGCATATGTGAAAAATTGCATTGTATTTTGATCTGTTTTTCACACAAACTTTCTTATAGCTGCAGAAGACATTGATTATACTCATACATATATATTCATATGAGCACTTTTATGACACAGTTGCATCCTTTTTTGGCTTGAAAGGCTCATGTTAACTAATTTCCTGGAGCAACTACTACAATTAAAAATGTATAAATGGTAATCCATTTTTTCCTGTCTTTCTCTGTCACAGGAACGACACCCAACTCACCCGTCAGTCTCCCCAAATCACCCACTTTCCCATCTGCCTCAGGCTCATGGCCGGACGAGTGTTCTATCTGCTATGAAAACACAGTGGACACCGTCATCTACGCCTGCGGACACATGTGTCTCTGCTACACCTGTGGCCTCCGCCTCAAAAAAATGGCCAACGCTAGCTGTCCTATCTGTAGGAGAGCTATCAAAGACATTATAAAGACCTACCGGAGCACTTAGGGGGGCCCCAAACCCAAGTCACATAAGGGCCATTAAGGATCTCTAATAGATCTGTTTCAAGAAAGGTTTGGTGTCACAGTTCAGGGACTTTCTCTGGCACTGCATGGGTCTCCGTTCCCACGGCGATGACTTTTGAACCCTCAAATCTTCAAGGCTCAGGCATCCATTCGCAAAGGTCTTTTGTATTTCATTGCTCAAGTCTCTGTTGCTATGGTAACCAGTGATGCTGCTGATCCTCAGTAGCATCTGGCTTTTCAACTGATGTAAGACATAGAATCATGGGCAGTATCTCATCGAATTCAGAACATTTCAGGTGATACAGGAGATATTCAAGGATGCACATCTCGCATTTCTTTTACCCTCTTGGTGAGCCATAATAGACTGCAGAAATCTTATTCATAGCATCCTTAAAAGCTGGAATCATATTCAATAGAGTGTTACAGTCTCTTATTTTTTTCTTCTGCTGTCCTCAGAGCTAGTCAGACCAGCTAAGGCACTTTCACTGATGAAATTCATACAAAAATGTCTCAGTGTTTCACAATTTTTGTCTGTGCTGGGCTGAGACAGAGATAGGAATACAGATATAAAGGTACAGTGCTTTTTTTTCATACCTCACATTTCATGCTAGTTGTGTAACCGACAGCTTGTCCTTATTATGTGCTCTGAAGTGAGTTGATCTGGAGGTCTTTGTGCATTGATGAGTATTTGATCATGTGTTTTGTAATGTAATCTGATGCTTTGGTAGGTAGCAGGTAAAATCAGCTAACGGTCTGCTATAATTTTGCTTATGCGTGTGTTCAACAAGCAGGACGTTGTGGTGTAATTAAAGAGAAATAATTTGTTATAACAATACACAGGAATGATTAACCAATGAGTCATGTGGCAGATTGTTATATAACAACTCATTTCTGGACAAAAGAAGGCTAATATTGGATATTTTAATTCATCTAACGGTTCTGGGAAATGTGATTGCCACAGAGAAGTGCGGTTTAAATAGAGCACCTCACTTCACGACCCTAAAACATGTTGGCCTAATCAAACCTTCATTTACTGTGAACTTGTTCTTGACTGTCGATCCGAACACGCAAGCTTTGGGTTTTCTGCTAAAGCAATTGCAATGTTGCCATGGAGAGCAAAATCTAGAAAGGAGGAAAACAGCCGTGAGGCATTAACCAATGAAAGAGTCATTTGTGGTCAGAGGATATTTGATTTGCACAGTTAATCCATATTTCTCCCAGCCCCCCACTGTAGGCCAGAAACGGTGTGTATGGGGATAATAGTGAGCCCTGGCCACTGATGAAATAACTGATTCAAATGGAATATGTTAGGAAAACAGGTGAAAAGCCATAAGGCTGGCTCAGTGTCCCTGCTGGTGCTGAGAAAACAAAAAAAGGAGGATCAAAAATATTATCAAGATTTGCCCTCCAAGGCCACATTCGTGTTAAAAGTAACATTTGACATCAGACTTCTCATTTGAACCTTTACAAACTGTCTGAAAATCTTATTGAGGTTACTGAATGATAATTCATTTATAGAAAGTCCTGCTGCTGTAGGATATAGTTGAGTGGGTATGTTCTTGGAATCAGGAGGACATCTAAGGTTGTCACTGAGAGGTGAATTTTATCTCACTTTGAACCTGATGTCTCCTGATATCTGAAGAGCCGCATAAATGAATGTCAAGAAAATGTCCTTGTCATATTTCACCCCAATTGTCATGAAAGTCGGGGTGAAATGTGCAAAAAAGGGTAATTGTCTTATAATATGCTTATTTTCTTTATGCAAAACTACTTAACTCTTTCCCCGCCAATATTTTTTTTTTTTTTTTTTTTTTTTTAAGTTGCCAGCCGTCGCCAACGTTTTTGATCATTTTTAAAAAAAAATCATGGCCCCCAGAATATTTTGTTGGATGAGTATCTGAATATGCAATATATCAAAAGAAAGAACAGAGCCTCTGCTTAAAAAAGACTAAACAAAAAAAAAAACGTTTTATTCTAGCTTCATGCATTCTTTTTTTTATCAACATTTGAATGTGGGTAAGTTTCATTAAAAAAAGCAACATTTTGAACAAAACGCTGAGAAAATCACGACTACAACGTGCATAAGCAATGCTTTTATCACTTGTTTCTGCTCCTTTTTTGACTGTTTTCAATGGCAAGGGTAGCCTGGTTAAAACCAGACCATTCTCAGTTGTAACTGAGTTATGGTCTGGCAAAGCGTCATAGACAAATCATTTCCATAGGGGCGTCACCAACGGACGTCGCGGATAGACCTAGGCTACAACCAATCAGAGCGATGAAGGAGATGACGTATGCAGAGCGGAGTGTTGTTCTTTGCTTGGTTTTTAACAAAAAGGAAACGCTCAAATCGCTTAAAACAGACGCGATAGCTGATTCGAACGAGTGATGTTCGACGGCGGCATCCATCTTTGTAATGTAGGCTACAAAATCTGCTTCAAAATCCCAGCGCTGTCGTCATCGTGTAAAGCCCGCCCCAACGTTTCTGATTGGTGCCTCGATTTCGACGGATTGGAAATGGGCTTGAATGAGCTCTTTTCCAGACTAGCTTTCAGAGCAAATCTAAATTTGCCGGAAGTTGTCTGGGTTTTCCAAGGGAAGCGCTGTCTCATAAATGACGGAAAATTCCGTCACTGGCGGGGAAGCGTCCGTCATCTCATAAATGACGGAGAAGTCAGTGAGTGACGGGGAAGCGTCGTCTCATAATAAATGATGGAAAATTCCATCAATGGCGGGGAAAGAGTTAATGAACAATTTCGAAATGTGGCACGACCATTTTTAATAAGATTGGTAAGGAAAGATGTCATATTCCATCAGTGAACATGTTTGGTTCTAGATCTCCTATGAACATCACTTATCCCACGATCCACATTAAATGCTGGAACAGCCTTTTTTTAGAACTCCAGATCACATTTTGGAATTTATGGCAAAAAAGCAAAAGAGGACTCAATGATGTGCATTTGTGTGTACGTATGGATGTTAAAGCAGCTCAAGAGAAATATCAGTGATCTACAATTGACTGCAGGTTAATATTGTTCATAACTAGCCAGTTAGCTTGTGTAAAGCGATCGTGCCGCTGGCGCTTAAATCCATGCTGCTATTAGTATTAGCCAGCTCTCCTACAGGCAATGCTAACACCGTGTCGAGAAAATACCCTGTCGCTCTCGACAGGATATTCTCTTTAGAGTTTTACTCTATTGTTTGAAGTGGTGATTCACTTTTGAATGTTAATTTATGTTAATTAGAGGAACCTATTAGAATAGCTGTATCTGAGGTGTTTCTATAGCGCTTTGTTTTTATTATTTGATTTCTCTCTTTTTGAATTATTGGACCGAAGTTTATGATTGTACAGTTTGCTTGTCAATCCTCTGTGGTTTATAGAGCAATGTATTTCTTGAATTTTGTGCTGGCTTTCTTGTATTCGAGCTATACTGAACAGTACACAAATCAGGGGCTTAGCAGTAAACAATCAGAACCAACTTTATGTTGGGAGCAGGATAAACTAAAGATTATGTACACTTCCTTTGATATCAGGTTTTATGATTTCATTGGCTATGTATTTTGTTCTGAGGTGTCTATTTAAGGTGAAATTTAATGATCCAATTTTGAAAATATCCTGAAGGCCTAATATTTCTGATTAGATCTTTTGTTAAGATTTTTGGAAACCTTGAGCAAAGTTTTTATTTAACAAACCTGGCACTTTTTCTGTCAATTTCAGTCACTTTATAAGATCATCAATATTCCCCCACAATTTTTTTTTTCTTTCACCCTAGTTTTATCTAATGATGTCTTTTGCACAGTTTAGGGTGTTAATATAAGGGCAATATTTGTGTTTGTCACTTTATAAAATTTGATTGTAATTGTTTGTTTTTTTTGGACATCATCTTTATGTTGATATTTGGACAAAATGAAGCTAATCCTGTTTGAATAAGTGTACTAATCTTACACAACATTTCTATCATTTAATGCTTGTATGAAATCGCTATAGAATGGGATTGTTTATTTTCCATTTGTGCTACTCCCACCTTGTTTTTTCCGAGGACCTACAGAGGGACATCCAGTCCTTACCGACGCGCCACTGTTGGATTTGCTTTTGATTGTTGTCGACCCTGTAATGTACTTTATTTAGAGTATGATGTGTTGAATCTGATGTCTGTTGCAGAATCTGTGGTAAATGTACCTTATTTAGCCTTCCTCTTTTAGAATCATTTGTTAAATCAAAGCTAGAAATAATGAAAACAGCCATATTCGCACATTGGCCAATTTTTCTGTTTGTTTCAGAAAAATAAAGTTTGATGTTTTGTGAAGTAACCAGAAATGGGATCAGGGATTGCATAAATTATCACCCCAACCTTAAATAATGCTGATCAAGTATTTTTTCAATATTGATGACAAAAAAATATTTTTTTTATCTTATATACGTTTTAAAGAAAATATCGGAATTGCTTTTCTTGTTTCCTGTTCGGCATTTATGGCCAGTGTGTTTCGTTCACTCATTACCCATTGGTGAACAGTGGGACCAAACTAATAATGAATCAAAAAATGTTAGATTCCCCTTTCCCATGGTTCATTCAAGGGCTGTGTTAAATGAATCATTAATTCATAGAGTCCATGAGGTCAGTAGTGATTTAGTCACAAGAAATGGCTCGGCTTACTGTGGCATTCGATTTTGGACTCAAACCCCATGTCTGAATTTTTTTTTTCTCCCTAATGTCTGTGATCAGTTTATGAAGCTTTGTTTTATCTGAGTCAAAGATGACTGTCAATAAACTTTGCAGATGCATTTCAGCGAGTGGTGTCTATTCTGTGCCCTCTTTGTTCAAATATGTTCAAATATAGTTAATTATTTATGACACTCTTGATCAATTGATCTTCAAGTGCATATCATTTTACACTGTTCTATAATATAAAACAATGTCAGGTGCTTCAACTGGACTTCCTATAAAGTGATCACTAACTCTCAGAATCTGACCAGGAATCAAAGTCTGAAAACATACAGTATGAACCATGATGGTAACCTGACCCTGAATCAGACGTTAAAGGTGGATTGTAACAGGAGTAGGCCTACTTGATATGCCTGAGATCAGAGGTGTGCCGACGAAGGATGAAAGGTTTCTTTGATGATTTTCTCTCAAGTTGAGAGGGGGATGAAGATCTTCCTTCATGGTTAAGGGTAGCTACATGTTTCTGAGACCCACAGTGAACACACTCTTTTCCATCTGGATTTAGTCATTTGACAAGATGGTTAAGGCTGCCCCCTAATGGACAAAAATACGTGTATCATGCTTTATTTCCCTAATCAAACCTATTATCCTTCCTGTGACGGTTATGACAGCGTTTACAAACAATTAGAAATATTTTTTCATTTTCACATGTCTTCAAATATTACTCTATGGTCCAGTACAATGCCTAAACATACAACTGGCAATTCTTCTCAAAAGCTGCACAGAACAATATGTGCCTAACCAGTCCTTCTGTTGTGGCACATGTGCATCAGTCTCACACACATCAAAGGCTTTGTTTTCATGTTAAAATCGTATAGCCTATAGGTCAAACATTTATTCTTATGCTGAAATATCACCTGAAATGAACATTCTCTCATCATTTAGGCTACTTACTGTACCCTCGAGGCAATATCTGCAGAATATCAGAGTTACATCCATAGTTTTGTTTGTTGATAGACAGGCCTCGGCTTGATACCGTTGCCGTTATTAAATTTTCTTCCCGCCCAACAAAATGTCAACAAATTGTTACGTCATATCACACGCGGTTCAACGCGTTTTTCTGCGATAATGTTAATACAAATTATTGACTTTAATTAAGTCTTATTATAATAAATTTATTTACAATTAGCATACGTATTTAGCAGAGGCTTTTATCCAAAGCGAATTAAATTGCATTCAAGGTAAACATTTATAAGGTAAACATCAGGTCTTACTTTCCCTGGCAATCGAAACCGAAGACTACTGCTAGCGCAAATTCATCCTCTATCTACCGGTCCGGGATACAATATTCCACACAGTAAACTGTGTTGCCACTTGCAATCAAATGATTGGCCTACTGTGTATTCATGGAGGTGAGTTACTGTGCAGTATTTATAGCCTATGTAGGCCTACTTACATTTGTTCATCCATAATAATATGGTAGCACGGTAGCATTTAACAATGTTATCACGTGACCCTTCATGTATGTGTAGTTAGTTATCATCTGAGAAATGTTATATATGGTTTGTTTTTAATAACATTTTATTCAAACATCTTTGGCAATGTTAAAAATGACTACAAATTGGCTACTTTCTGTTATTCACACTGGAAATGGAAGGTAAAGCATTGTGCATTTGCATTGTGGGATATTGCTACTTCACAGTGTCAGTTGTATAGGCCTACATTTTTCCATCATTTGGGTAGCCATGTCATGCAACCAGAAAATGTGCAAATTGTGTGAAGTATGCATACTATGCTTAAATACTATAATAAGTAGTGCTATATGGCTATTCCAATGACAGCATTTTCTTTTCCTTTCTGAATGAATGAATGTGCTCTGCTAAATGGAGATCAAAGCATGACAGTGAAATTTAAGAACAAGGAGGATACATTTTATTGTGTTTTCCGTTAGGACAATGCAAGATACAATGTAAACATAAAAAGGTACAAAAACAAAACGTAAAGTAAAAATCACAAAACAAAAATGCTGAAAATTAAAAGCTATGCAGACCTTTAGATCTTTAAAAGAAATGCATACAAAATGTAGATTTGGCTGAGCGC